TACCTCTGGTGCTGGTGTATCCCAAAGAACTGCTGACTTCATACTGAGCAGCAGGCATGCGGGGTATCAGCAGCATGTTGGACACGGGCCCCAGGCTGTCGTCAGAGGCCAGGCTTCGTTGTTCGTCGGGACCTCCCGAGCGAACCGGCGGGGATGCACCTATGCCCGTGCTGACGTCCACCGAGCCCCAGCTCTTCCTCCCGCTGTCTTTGTCTCGAGCCATTCTGAAAGACAAGCAGCCGCTACTGCATAACACAGCTGAGGGTCAGCACAGAGAACATCTGGCTGTGCTAAATACCCGTTACCTCCAAAAGCACAGAAGCAGTCAGCTACCTGAAGTTTGTGCTCCTTTGAATTCGTGAAGGACCAGGAAGTCGGAACACCTGAGCGTCGTAGGCGTCGTAGTCCACCTGTATGGGCAGCGCGTTGTCACAGTCCTTCGGCACACACAGAGCTGGAAAAATGACAAAGTCAGCATCGGACCTGCTTCACAAAGCCAGAGCACAGAGAGATCGATGCTCAGCACTTACTGTGCTCTTTGCTGCTCTTGAACTTCTCTGCTTGAAGCTACAAATATGGGTCAGTTAATGAAAAACACAATTTTTCATCCATCAACAATGCTGTGAGTAACTTTACGCAGATGTACCTTATGGCCAGCAAGTTTGATTCGAGGGGTAAAGGAACCGCACGAGTTCTGGCTGCTGGACGTGTAGAAGCTGTGGACGAGGAGCAAAACGGGAATCAATCACTCAGCTCCACCTCGCCATCGATCGCATTTCAATTCAAGCGTAGCAGTTTACACAGAGGCTTCTAACGAGCTACAGTTACTCTGCACACGAGCACGCCTAGCTCCTGCTCGGAGTGAACGAGGCCGTGGTCAGGCCAAGCGGACGCTCCTCTCAGGAAAGCCTGTCGCTGTGGAGCACAGGAACCAGCAGCATCACTCAGGCTGGAGCTTTTTCACCAAAGACGTGAGATGAAACTCATCAGGTGACAGGAGCATTTTTCTCTTTGTTTACTAACGAGTCGCTCTGACACGCTGAGGCTGACGCTCGTCTTACTGTCACCATCAGTCTAACCTGTGGTTGATCCAGTGAGGAAGGTTGTAGTCGTCACCCACACCAGAGTCTCCGGGTGGTGTCCTGTTGTGTAGCTGCAGCGGGAGAGACAGAGCATCAG